AGTGTATGCTCGGACGATTGGTTTTCATCATGTTTCTCCATGATTCATGAGACAACTGGGTTTATATTCATAGGTCGATAACCTCATGGCCACTCCCTTACTTTGTTTGTTCACTTCCATTTGAAACCTAAATATATTGTGGAAGTCAGGTATACCTGCACTCCTAATATGACCAAAACAAGTGAATCTATCTGAAAAAGAGAAGACATTCAGCGAAGAGACTCTTTCCATTGGTGAATTCATTCACATAGCTGCACAATCACAGTGGTGGTGGCACAGTGGGCTCTCGCCGACCATGCACATGGTCTGACGTTCGATCCCCTGCCGACGAAGCACACCTGATATCTATGGTCGGCCTGCAAAATTTGGGCTACCGATGTCACATGCTGAAAATTCCATACTTGTACCGAAAATACGGTGTGGAATCAAGCTGTAATCAAAAATAAAAAAACAAAACAAATTTATAGATAATTATTTGTGTGTGTGTGTGTGTCCATGAGGCTTGTCAAGTTTGGATAATTGATAAGGTAATACAAGAATGATCTAATATAGAAACAAGGTTAATCAGACAACAACTAAAGTTAGATTGAGTTAGTCAGTAGGTTAGATGACGTAATATAATTGACTAAAATGTTTCAACTTAGGTCAGGGTAGCACAACAGAGGTAATTACAGGTAGAGAAAGACTAAGTAGAAGTGGGGTTAATAATAATCCCATTTAAATAATAACTAAAATTGATCAAATAAGTTGGATGACGTAACATAGATGACTAGAAATTGAGCGTTGGTCAAGTCAGTAACAATGGGGCAATGAGATTAGGTAGAGTTTACCTGTCGGGTAATAAGATAGATTACATCCATTGCAAGTGTAATGATTGAACGAACTTCTTCTGTATGCAGAGTTCAGGACTTAGCAAGTGAGTCAATCGTCATTACTTCCGCAGTTTGATTGATACACCCCTTTAGGAAGACTACTTCGTATTCTGTAGACGACTTTGAAGTTTGTTTGGGGTGTAGCTTGGTGTCCGGAATCTATCACATGTTGCTTTGTAAAACTATGTTGGTAAGTGTTCGGAGATACGTTTGGAAATCGAACGCTGCCTGGGTACGGTCGACATACCTGGCTCCACACGAGCAGGTGAATTGATAAATACACATTGATGAGGCCAACAGTGGTAGCTTATCCTTCACATTCACATGAATCATAAGTTTTGTGGAGAAGGTTAGTCTGTAGTTCAGCTGCGAAGAAGGTCTACTTAAGTGAACACGACAGTCGATTTCTTAGTGTTTCCGCAGATATATCCCCATTAAAGTGAAGGTTCACGTTGAGTAGTTTCTTTCGGGACGCTAAGCATGAGCGGCTTTTGTGGTCTAGGATACATAGATTTTGCAATAAATCGTTCTGGATAACAATTCTCGACGAGGATTCTCTTGAGATTGTCCGAAGTGAAAATTCTGCGAACTCTGTAGCTGAGTGAACGGATCAGGTTTCGTTTGGTGTATTTAAATTATCAGAGCCACTGGGAACTATTTCGAGCCATGTCACCAATAGTTTGCAGTCATCGAATATCAGTGGGGCCCCGGTGGCAAAGTGGTTAGGACTCTCGCCGACCATGCACATGGTCCGGTTTCGATTCCCTGTTGACGCATACCTGATATCTATGGTTGGCCTGCAAAATTTGGGCTACTGATATCACATGCTGAAAATTCCATACCTGTACCAAAATTACGGTGTGGAATTAAGCTGTAATCAGAAATCAAAAATTTATACCTCTCTAAGTGGCTCAAACCAACAACAGTCAAACACTTGGTGTACTCTTTTGGTCTGACAACTAGAAACCTCCTTTCTGGGCTTGTCAGACCTCAGCTAACATTGTTCGTCAAGGAGAGCGGCCTTCTGTTATGAATAATAGATTCCGTAAGCCTTCCCAGTCGATTCACATTGACAACCTTATCCGATGACTTTCCCCGTATTAATTTAATACCCTACACATAACCTCATTATTTCTCTCCATATCACGCCACTTAACCGGAGATAGACAGAATGCACAAACCCTAGGATCAAAGATGGATGGCTAAGCTCTTCATATCTTCCAATTTCAACAGCCACTGACTCACTGCCGGAAAGAAGGATGGGGTGAACTGCTGTCTAGTACACACGTTCTCTTAAGGATAAAGGAATATCACATGCACGCAAATTCCTGGGCGCATCTTTTGTATTCAAACTAAGATTTCGTCTGTGTTTAGTTCATTAGAGTTGATGCAACTCCTCAAAACAGCCATTTCACTTCTTATCCTGAAAGTGTCGCAGAAACTCTTCCTAACAGTTCAGGGACGTACCTATTCCTTTATCAGACACTACTATAGTTTGCAGTGTATCTGCCGACACTAATCGTGGGCCGTTTGTTCCTCTCAGATGCCGAAAAGTGTTGTCTGAACACTTACATTCGCTTTCTTATCCTGGAGTATGTACTACAGTCAGACTTATCAGCGACCGTTTCGTGTGGCTTAGAATGAACTCTGACATTCGGAGATGGGTACGGGAATGTCTCCAATGCCAATGCTTAAAAGTACATCGCCACACTGTTGCAACGCCGAAAACGTTTTTTATGTTACCGGATAAGAGATGTCAACATATTCATATAGACATTGTAAGACAATTACCAACATCAAGAGGATATACACACATATCCTGACAGCCATCGATAGATTTACTCGATGGGCTACCGAATACCCCCTAAACGATATATCTGCAGAAAATGTTGCTTTGGTTTTTCTCGAACGTTGGGTGTCAAATTATGGTGTACCAACTACTATTACATTTGATCGAGGCGTTCAATTCCTATCGATGCTGTTTCGTCAGCTAACGAAACTCATTGGAGTGAAACATGTCTCCACAACAGCTTATGGTCCGGCAGTAACATTACCAGTCGGTGCAGACCAGTCCTGTAGCTTCATCTTACATTTGACATGGAGAAAATAATGCCATGTTGAAAATTCCTGTGTGTATCAATCTGTCTGCTAAAACTCCATTATAGATAAGATTTTATTTTGATAAACTGTCACACACACACAGTGTAGTGTAGTGTTTGTTTTACAGTAAGTAATATTAACTGATCCGACCACACGCCATTTCGAGCACAATTTATTATTATTCCCACTCATAATCATCACATCAAGTCACTCAATCACTCACTCACTCGCACAACTTTCTTGTTTCCTTCATTTATATACACATGAGTGGAATTGATGATTAGACATTTGAATACAAATCAACCAATATGGGATAATGTACATTCAGAAATAATAATCATAATAATATGAGTGTCATGAGTGATCAATTACAATAATCAGATGGGGAATAAGACGAGTGTTTGTTGTATAGTCAAAATAAGTGAGTAACTTGTGAGAATGTTGTGATGATGTACGTGAATTGAATTGAAATAGAATACAATTTGAGATTATTTATTATCCTCCTGTGATTTCACTGACTGACTGACTGACTGGTGGTAATAATATCTTCCATGCATATTTGTGGTATTTGCATTGAGTCATTTCTGTTGCATGTAGAAACAATGAACCAGGATTCAGTAATCTATAATCAGATCATCACAACCCATCAGCTCAAAGGTATCAGTTGTTCCAAGTCTTCTTAGGCGAGCACACTCTCTGATTTTTATGGATGAAAAAGAATAAGTGGAAGAAGAAATATCAAACATTACTGAAACCCTCCTCAAGCAAAACAACTACCCAAGGAACTTAATCAATAAAATCAACATAAACATTAAGTATGGTCGAAAATGCATTCCGAAAACATGGACCTTAACAGCTGTCATTCCAGTGACGTCAAACGATGTCAGAATATTGTCAACCAGCTTGACATCAGAGATTTCTTCAAAACATCAGACACACTGCGAAACAACCTTGTCCATATAAAAGACCAAATCCCTAAAGATTCTCTACTTAATTTTATCTATAAAATGAAATGCTTGCTTGGAATGTGATGCGATAAACATCGCCAGAGAGAAGTCAAAACAGAAGAAATGAACACTGTAGAGCATCTGTTCAACAACCGAGAAATAAATCTAGTTGAATTAGAAAAGCTTGAAAAGTCATCAGCCATAGCTCGTCTGCACGCTTCGCTATAGAATCAGGCCATAAAAGTGATTTCGACAATATTGAAATCGTCATCCAGAAAAAGGGATTTCAGAAATCACAAACTACGTCTCATATCATCAAGTGGAATCCCAATTGTCTGAACTGAATAGGAATAATGGACTGAAACAGAATTTGACGTGGTTACAACACCCCCAACCCCTCCCCCATGAAATGACAAAATCAACACGAATGTGATAAGCAAGTTCACTATATAAACACACACTGCTTTTATAATTTTAGACATTGATCAAATCCAACAATCTAAACTTGATTTTGTTATCTTTCCCAATCGACCAACTTGACAATAAAAAATGACCCCAGACTGACGAACGATGATCAAGTTAGTAAACTTTGTTTTGATACCAACCAGGGCAGATGTACTATTACCTCTGTTATTAGGTTAAGTCATTCATCTTCATTGTTATTTTGACTTTCAATATTTCCTCCCCTTTTAACTTGACCTAAGTAGTCAAGTCTATTTTCTCACCCACCTCTTAACTCTTTGTTATATATAAGCTGAGTGGATTTTGCAAATTCTGGTTTAATATAGCTGCTTTGATAAAGCTATTAGCAGCAGCATTAAATAGCGAAACGTCCTCAGTAGAAACGACAATATCGTTTTGTTTTTTATTCGTTGGGAAATACAAGAAAACCCTCTTTATTATAATGAATATCATATACAACCGAATGCCGAAATTTGTTCAAACTGTTAAAAGTAAACTTGATTTGGACATATATATATATATATATATATATATATATAATATATTTGTAAGTATAAAATGTTTACAATGTGTAATGTTATGCTTGGCTTATCGTTAATACATTTTTTTATTTGTATTCTTAATACGTTGTATTCCCATCATTTGTTCCAGTTGCCGGAGTTAATTGTTGTTGATGATTTAAGCTTCGTTTTAACTCTGAATTTTCAGTTTCTAATAATTCAAGTTTTTGTTTCAATTCTGCAATCTCTAGTTTCATTGCTTCAATATCAGAAGGATCTGGACCTTCAGCTTGTAAATGTTTCTTCATAAATCTAGACAATAAACAATAATAATAGTAAATCCTTTTTTTAAAAATACAATCACACAGAGAGCATATGATAAACTTGAACAGTGTTCCTTAGAAGACGAAGATTATTTGGATAAGAATGCCAGTGTATTTTTGCAATACATTTCGAAACAAATTGATCACAAATTTCTACTTATCAGACCAATTATATATATATATATATATATATATATATATATATATATATATATATATATATACTTGGTAGATACAGATGGAAGAGGCGAAATTAGGCAGTTTGTCTTTTACTCCCGAACGCTCAATAGGGGCGGGTGGTTTTGAAGACACAGCGTAAGTCAGCAGTAGCACTGAGTGCTCTTCTTTTTTCCACATTTCTAAGGGACTGTGTTAGTATCTCGCTGATGTTGTCCCTCAGAGGGAACTGCATCTATAAGAATAAGGCCTTCCTTTGCCTTGGAACTGATGGTGCCTTGGTCTGCTTTGATTTTAGATTCATATTCTTATCAATAAACTTTTCTGGATAACCATTTTCACTGAATAATATTAAACGGTTGATGAGTGAAAATGGCTATCGAGAAACATTTATTGACAAGAATATGGATCTAAAATCATATCAGCTCAAGGTACCAACAGTTCCGAGGAAAAAGGAAGGCCTTATTCTTACAAATGCAGTTCCCTCTGAGGGACAGCATCAGCGAGATACTAACACAGTCCCTTAGAAATGTGTAAGAACGAAGAGCACTCAGTGCTACTGCTGAATTATGCTGTGTCTTCAAAACCACTCCTCTCTTGCGTTCGTTCGGGGGCAAAAGACAAGGTACCTAGTTTCGCCTCTTCCATGTGTGTGTGTGTGTGTATCTACCAAATGAACTGCTCTTGCTGTTAAGTGAGCCAGTTACTTGCATAGGCCGTACAATCAGGCGTGTTTATCATCGGATTTCCGAACATCATCCTGCACAGTAGTTGGTTAAGTAAGTAAGGACAAACAAAATCTATTCTCAGCGCTATTTTATTTCACTCCTCTTGTGGACACTACAGAACACAAGATTGATCAATGTTAACAAGGCGGCTTTCAGGGTCATTTACCCACCGAATACCAACAAACTAATCATACGTTCGCCTTAAGAGTAGTTCGACTACTAAATATTTCTGAGGATGGCTGGCTGGCTGGCTGGCCTTTGGGATGCATATTAACAAGCCTAATTTGTGCATCCAAAAGAAGTTGGTTTGTTCAGACATTATCCATCATTACCCACTTGGCCATCCATCCAGGTTTGAATAATCCTGAATTTTTGTGGAATTTTACTAATTTTAGTTGATATTCTATTTCCTACCATATCTTTATTATGATTGTTATTTAAGCATCTCTAATCAACTGTGGTGGTGATTCCATTGTGATCTCACTTTACAAATCGATATTATTATTAAAATACACGCCGATATTGTTAGTGACTACTTATGTAGAATATTCCATGTATATAAAGATGCATATATGTGATTGTAGAGCCAGAGGAGGAGGAATTTATCGAAAAGGGGATATTCTTTGATGGTTCAATTACATTTTGTGTTTTCTAGATGTCTGAATGAATATTTTGTTATCAGAATAAATGTAAATGCACACTAAAACCCGTCAATAGCAATTAAAATCGATAAATTAGTTGCTAAACATGCCTCTATTGAAAAAAAATAATAAATTACAAATGTATTACACAAACTACACTACAGTGAACATTAACAAAGTAATAAGAACATATTGAACAGAACAAAATTACGTTTTTCTTTTTAATTTTTTCTCTCTTTCTCATCAGCTGCGTACAACCATGAAAAATTTAATATAAGTTTACAAAATATTCAAATACTGTAGTTTTGCAATTAACACTTGTTCTCTGATGAGCTGGTTGGTTTAGTTGCGCAGCTTTCGTCGTCCTCCCCTCCCCCACGCCACACCTGCTGGACAACATCCCCCTTTAGCGGAATTTTTAGCGTAAAGTGAAATGATTTAAATTTCTTCATGAGTGGCGATAGAATTGCGTGTGTCACCAAGGTAACCATCTTTACATATGTATTGATCATTTTTATTATTATTGACTTGGATTTTAAACTTGCTCGTCACATGATCTACTTTTTATTATTAGTTGGTAGATTTAGTCTATGTTAGTTAACGTGTTTGTTAGTCGCCGGCTGATTTGTTTGAGTACCACCAGGCTTCTAGGAATTCCCTGGCACGGCACTCACACAGCAATCTCGGATAACGTCCCTTTAGTCACAACACAGCCCAAAAGAAAGTCATCATGGCTGAAGAGAGGCACGCAACGTATTCTGCAGGCAAAGTGGGAGGCTTGGTTTACGCGGAGCGTTGATTTCATCAATGAGTCAGGCCGACTACGACGCATACCTGAAACTCAGGAACCGGTGCAACGCGAGAGTCAGGAGTGACAGGAGGTTATTCCAGACTAACCTCGCCAAAAACTCCTAGTAAACCCCAAAAATTGTACCGATTCATGTAGGAAAGAAAACCAACAAACCAGGGGGCATGTGTCTTAGTAGGCCTAAACGGTCAATATCTCACTAGTCTGGAGATGGCTGAAACATTCTGTTCAGCCTTCGCCAACACAGCTAACGCAGCAATGTGGGTATTACAGTTACGGACCAAAATGGTGGCGCCACCATTTCACAGGAGGAAGACCTAGTGGCTACTCCCCAAATAAACCCCGCAATAGTACTAAGGAAGCTACAGCGACTCACATCTAGGAAGTCCTTAGGTTGTTACGACATCAGGCCATCTGTTCTGAAACAGTGCGCCGAAGCTCTCTGTAGGCCCCTGTGCGACTTGTTCCAACACCCAATGGATTCGGGGAAACTGCCAAGGGAGTGGAAAAGAGCCATCATTTCTCCAATCTTCAAGGGTGGGGATAGGTAAAATGCCACTAGTTATAGACCAGTAGCTCTACTCCCAGTGGTATCAAAAGTGCTGGAAAGTATTATTGACGATCATATCAGGGAATATTTCGATAGGTCTAATATACTCCATGAAGCCCAACACGGTCTCAGGAAAGGCAGATCCTGCGTTACTAACCTACTATCAGCTTTGGACGATTGGACATCATGCTGAGATATGAATGTTCCAGTCCATGTGGTGTTCCTAGACTTTGAAAAGGCATTTGACACTGTTCACCATGACCTTCTCCTACATAAAATAATCCAGGCAGGTATAGGTGAGCCACTTCTGTCATGGTTAAAGGGCTATCTAGCTGAAGGGCAATTTCTCACTAAAGTCAATCGAGTCCGATCATCTTGGCACAGCTCGTTATCAGGAGTGTCGCAGGGTTCTATCCTAGCACCACTGATGTTTATTTGATTTTTATCAATGATCTACCACGCTGTCTAAGCTGCCCGACTCTTCTATACGCTGACGACGTAAAGATATGGAGGGCGACAAAGTGTGTCCAGAGGATTCAGATAGACTGCAGACAGATCTAAAGCTTCTGGAAGACTAGGCGGTGGCCACATGGCGTGACTTTCAACCTGAAAAGTGCAAAATAGTGAAGTTGGGCACATGTAGACTGCAGAATGCAAGTTACACCCTGTGCAACGAAAGCTTGTCTTGCACAACGTCAGAACGCGACTTAGGTCTAGTTGTAAGGGAAAAAATGGACACAAGCGTAAATTACACTGGGGACGTAGCGAGGGCGTATGCGGTCATACACTTTACGCGTAGACAGTTAGGTGCACTCACTCCTGAGCTCTTCCTAAGGTTGTACAAAACATGCACCAGACCACACCTCGAAGTGCATAATATTATTGCACTCCCACTGCTTAGAAGAGACGCCGACCTCTTGGAAAGAGTGCAACGACGGGTAACAAAAGCAATAGTTGGTCTCCGAAACAAATCATATTATGAAAGGCTAAAGAAATCAGGCCTATTCACACATCGGCTTACAGGGGATTTGATTACTGTCTACAAAATAACGAATGACCAGAATCACCCAAACAAAGGTTTTCTGCCAGTTAGTAGGTATAGGCTTCCTCGTGGAAATCCCGGGTGCGCTTCCACTTCTTTTCACTGTGGGTTTGCCGTCCCTGGAATTCCTTACCGGCAGATGTAGCTATGGCACCGTCTGTGGACGCCTTTAAGCGAAGGCTGGACAATCATGCAGCGACACAAGGGATGCATCCAAATGGCCTGTTCCCTTAAAATCGCATACACCATTCAGGGGCAGACAATTAAACTCGTCCTTTTACTTCTTTACACTCTTTCCAGTCTTACTTTTCTGACAACTTTAACTACACTTATTATTATCTGTTTTCTTTTGTAGACGATACCGGAGGACTAATTGGTGAAAGGATCAACTCCACTCACAGTAGCAACAGTCTTAACTCGCCTCATACTACAAACCACATATAATTTGTCTCAGCACTACTCCTTTTGGAGTTAACCAAAGCTATGACAGTCGTGTGGCGGGACGAGCTACGCAGAAGTTTACCGAAGATCAGGAACCTATACCTCACAATCAAGAGGTGAGCACAAAGAAATCAAATTGATTTATACTGGCTCGTAAAAACGATATTGGATATTGGATCCATGTGCAGTGAGTTATTCGGCAGTCGCTATGATTATATGAATACAATATGTAAACTCCCACCCCAGTGCTAACAGTATACTACCATTAAGAGTGGAAGACATGAAAAGATTAGTTGTCTTCGATCATAGGTGCCTGTATTCTATCTCTCGTGTGAAGTGGTATAATAAAGTGAGTGATATTGAGGTTAGGCGTTCGTGGAGTGCTAGGTACGTGGGACGGGAAATCAATCGACGAGGCTGTGAAATTACATCGACTGAGTGAGATGGTTAGGACATGTGTTACGAATGAATGCCTAGTAATCGCCTTCCTCGAATGACAGGCAACGTTAGCTGACATAGGATTGGTCAGGCCGGAAAAGAGAGAGCTAGCGGCAGTCAAACCAAAACATGGCTTCTTCACCAGTCAATGAAATCTACAACAGTCAGTTTAAGCCAGCCAGTCAGTCACGTAAGAAGGTAGAGACTGGCTTCCTGAATGGCTGGTTTGGGTCCTCGGAACGGTAAAATCTAGGGAAGGCTGGAAACAATTTTTGATATGGCTGGCTCAAACTCATCGTTCTCAATGGTTTGCTGGCTGGCTGGGGTAGATGCATCCACTCCTTGTGACTACTTATGCTTTCCAATGAAACTATATTGTCCTTCGTACGTTATTACTATTCCTTTGTATTACTATACCTCTGTTTACTTACTGTCTCTATTATGCATTTCTTCTACTTTCTTGTCTTGCTTTGTGTGCTACAAGGAGTGGAGTGTGGCGACTTGAACTGGTGCACATCGGTGGAAGGTTCTATGTCGAAAAAAACATATACATACATCGCAACCATTGGAAATCAAAATGTGAAGAGTTCCATGGCAATAAATTGTAATGCGTAACTCAGTGAATTACTTGTCAAAAGTTTTGCTTATCTGTAGAAAGGTTAACATGAGAGTATTATGTGGACTGTGCCTTAGACGTATATTGTCACGCTTTGGTGTGAAAAATTGGTTGCTGGCGTTGACTGGCTGAGAAAATTTGGGTAAAGTCGACTTCCCTTGCGTTTTGAGCTTTACTATAACCATTTATCACGTTCCCCAGTGGAACATAGGGCCTCAAGATAGTGGCTTGAATTTTTTGTAGCAGTGTTTATTTTACAGGATGGGGTTGCTAGCCCCATGCCCAACTTTTCCACTTTGCCAGCATTATTTCTGGCTCAGTGAGGTAAAGGAGTGCGTTGGTGGCCGGGAATCGAACCCCGGACCATGTGCATGGTCGGCAGGTTTCCTAACCACTATACCACTGATGCACATCTATCAGAATACGTTAGAAAAAGAAGCATCTCGTAACAATCAAATAGGTTGACTTTTTCACTTGCGGTTAAATTAGATTATACGGATAACGTGGCTATTCTTGACTCCTTGCTTACCAATCGGTAAGTCACATTAGCAGTGTTATTTTTAAGGTGTGAGTTTACTGGCCTCTTGACTAACTTTCTCTCCTAGGGAAGATTGGGTCGAGGCCAGGGATAGAAACCATCTACTGGACGTTATCTTTATCGATCTTAGTATCCGACTTAGGTATTCTTAGTAAACTTAAACATTTTGGATTAGACCAACGCTTATGTCAGTGGTTTAGCGACTACTTGACGGATATGAGGCAGAAGATAAGGGTTAATGGTGTACCGTCAGGGTGGAAAACAGTACTAAGTGGAGTATCTCAGGGGACTGACTGTAGTTGGCCCCCTTCTATTCCTATTATACGTAAATGGAGCGCCGAAAATTCTTACGACATCTTCCTTACTATTTGCGGACGATATTAAGAAGATTTGGAAAACCGTAAGTAGTAACGATGATAAGTTGGTACTACAAAACGATCTAGACAAATTAGCTGAATCGGCTAACCTTTGGAGTTTGGAAATTAATTCCAAGAAAAGCGCGGTAATGCGCCTAGGTCAGAAGTCTTACATGTCGTAATCCATGGGGGACACAGAACTGCCAGACGTTAGGGGACAAAAGGACTTAGGCATTATTGTAAGCTAGAACTTAAAAACAACGGCAAATTGTAATCAAGCCGCAGCTAAGGCTTTTAAAATGATATGGGCACTTCGAAGGGCTTTCAAACGATTAGACGAAGGTATGTTCCAAGTACCCTATACAACATATGTCAGGCCTCATCTAGAGTACTGCATACAAGCGGTGAGTTCATGCTTCAAAAATGAGGCACATTTCCTAGAAAGAATACAGAGGGTAGGAGCGAAATAAGTTAGTGGTATCTCACACCTTCCTTGTAATAAAAGGATGGAACATTTAAAAATCCTTCAATTATCATACCAAAGGAGGAGAGGCAACTTAATTTCGGCTTACCGTATATTCAAGGGTGATTTAAGGATTGTCCTTTCAAACCTTTTCTCCCCCTCTAGGATACATTTACGAGGTCATCACAAGAAGGTGCTCAAACCGAGGTCAAATAAAATACGTTTGGAGTTTAGATTCCCTCACAGAGTGGTCAACGACTGGAACTCGTTACCTGATTCAGTAGTAAAAGCTCCATCAGTGAACGCTTTCAAAGAGAAACTGGATCTCTGCAGAGATACATAGTTCGCGAGGATTAACATAGGCAACAAGAGCCTTCTATCCTTATAATCTGAATCTGAATTTGGTCTTGCTACTAGCTGGTAAATTAAGTGAGGTTGATTAATGCATCTACCGGAAACTGGATAAGAAGTTTCCAAATGGCTGGTGAGTATGTACCCGGACCTCTCCTATTTATTTGGTATATCGATGAGTTATCTCTGCTCACAGACTCCACTATGGCCCTATACGCAGATGACTTAAAAATCTGGAGAGAGCTGAAGGGCAACAGATATACGTCCACGATGCAAGAGGACTTCAATAAATTGTCAGAGTGGACCAGAGAATGGATGTTCCCGATCAGTGTAGCGAAATGTGCAACCATGCGCATCGGACAAGAAAGCACCAGCTCCTACGAACTAGAGGGAATAATACTTCCATTAGTTCAGACTCACTTGGACTTAGGTGTCATAGTTAGCCAGGACTTAAAAACTACAGCACACTGTCGCGCAGTGGCTTCACGTAGTTTCGGGTCCTTATGGGCGATTCGCGGAGTCTTTACTAGAATCATCAGAGATATGTTCACCTCCTTATATACATCTCTGGTGAGGTCAAGACTGGAAAATTGCATCCAGGTCGCCAGTCCTTGTCTAAAAGGGAACTCACACATTCTAGAAAGGGTTCAAAGGAAGGCAACACGTATGGTTCACGGCATGACTAACTCATCATACGAGGAAAGACTAGACAGTTTATATCTCTTCTCCCTGTCATACTGTAGGCAGAGAGCAGATTTAATGATAATGTTTAAAATTTTAAATAGTGACTACGAATCTAACCTATCCTGTCCTTTGCTTCCCAACAGGTCGGAACACCTTAGAGGACATATCAGGAGAGTTCAAAAGCCAAGAAGAATTCATATTGCTTTTGCTTCTCACATCGAGTCAAAAACTCTTGGAACCGACTTCCAGAAGAAGTGGTGTCTGCAACCTCAACTGATTCGTTCAAGAAGAGTTTGGACAACCACAGAAATTTACTAGAAAAGGATTAACATAGGCTGCAAGCCTTCTGTCCTCAATCGATAAAACTGAATCAATAATCTTACCCACAATGCTTGCATGCAGTTGATTACTGCTTACATAACATTACACAAGCAAGTTCTGTTTGCAATTGTCCACAGTCAAACTGTATTGCACACCTCTTAATTTTCGGATACTAGTGTTACTTAGTCAAGCAGGACAATGGACAATCTTAGGTGTGACTTAGGTGGACTGCAGAGAATAGAACGAATTGGAGGTGTTTGGGAACCATATGTTCAACTCGAAATCCAAAGGAACAGTTATATAAATACATAGTTACAGTGTTTATGTACCATATCAAATTCTCGTTTACATATATTCCAAAAACCAATCAGTTATTATCGCAGTATCAGTGTCTCAAGCAGCAAACACACTTACTGGGTGAAAAGATATTTAATTTCAGAGGTGAGAAGTGAAAAAATGTGTTTCGCCAGTGGGCTTAAAATTTGAAAGTAATATAAAATTGGAAACATTCAAGGCATAATGTTGCAGTGCACATAGTTTTGCAGATTATTAATAACTTCATATATATAATATATCAGCACACTTACTCTAAAGCATTGTCAGGTTTTTCAGATTCTTCGTATAATCCAACCAGTACTTTACTAGTTGAGAACATTTTAATTAAGACGAAATTACCCTTTGTTAAAGCATCAATCACCCCTGATTTCTCCAAATACTTTCGAAATTCTTCACGCTTGGAATTTCCTGGCTGAACAAAAAGTATAATTTGGTGCGAAACCTTACTTTGTATGACGACATCCTATATTCGAATTGCCGTCTTTAAAATAACATGACAACGTTGTAAATAATAGAGGATTAAAACAAAACCAAGTCACTTCGATTCACTGTGGAGAAAAGATGTCCTTAATAAAATCTAGGAATAATTTTAAAATATTATTTCAGAAGTACAGATCTATTTGCATTGTGTTATATAGAAAACTTAAACGACCTTTTGATGGGACACCAGTCAGTAACTAGTGTGATTTGTGCGTCTAGTCCTATCTTCGGTTCAGACCGAAATCTGTCATTCAAAATTGCAATGTGGCCACTATTCTCGGCGGATCGCGATCGCGATGAATATTGATTTGATATAAGATGGATTAAGGCAGTCGGCAGTTGGCTCATCAGCAAGGCATATCTGCAAGGTTGAAGGAACTCATATTTCTTCTGATATTCTAACTCGCGTCACCCAGTGAATACTGAAGTCAGAGACGTTACCATCGGGCTATTCGGGCTGATGACTGACCTCCCGTAGGCCTGCAGTGAGTATCGTGATTGGACACTAGTAACTGGTATAAGTACCTCAGTGGTAACGCCTCTGTCTGCAGTACTCACTGGATGACGCGGGTTCAAATCGCAGAAGGGACATGAGATCCTTCAGGGTTGCAGATACGCCTTTCTGATAAGCGCCATTTAGCAGGAAACCTAGGTCTAAGGTTTCCTGTCGATTGCCTGAAATCATGTAATACCTGAAGGTCCTATCGAGTTTATTAAGTCTGTTGACGTTAGCAATAAAGAGATGAGACATTTAGATACGTTATGCTTTCCTGGATTTCTCCAACGGACGCGAAATTCATGTTACCAATCTTTAAGAAAAACAGCTTAGGTAATAAATAGCACCATAGCTGCAACGATCTTAGACAACCCTTAGTAACAATTTCTATGTTCACTGAATTATCAGGAAGAACAAAGTATTCAACAAACGGAGACTATCCTGTGAGTCGTTGTAATTTCACAAGTAAGAATATTTCAGTTCTCTGACTCAGCGTATGAATCTGTCACAGTGGTTCTGATGTATTGTTATTCTGCTTCGCTGAACTATTCATATCTTTCTTTACGATAAATCACTGTATTCAGGCAGGAAATCTGCTGCTATGTATTAAGATCACTCCAGTTGTTCTTCAAAAGAGCATTATTTGAATTAGACAGACAGATACGTACTTCAGTACATATCTAAGAAGTGATCTTTTCTTGATAAAACGTACCGAAAAATAGTTGTGTAGTCTGAATTAATATTAATAAAAAAATGCCTTTTCAATTAGGACATGACATATTTTCAGAAGGGAAAAATTTGATCAACTTCTCAAGTAAAGTTCGAAATGTCGTGTAATGTCTAAACAGCCATGCACCTAAACAAACCTGAAGGGTTTTAATCCTCACCAAGATAATACCGATTTACATGAATACAAAGAATACGAAATTAGGGTCGCTAGTATGAAAAACTAAATGAAAGTTTTTCTTATGATCAGCAGAATTTGAGTTGGAACAGTGGGTTGACATTGCTGCCGACTCACAGATTGTGTTTAATTGCTTCTAAGCGATAGTAGTGAGAGGTTATTTGTATTAATCAGTATATAAAGCGTTCACCTACTCTCCCTAGTGTCCTATGAATTAAGAGGCAATGCCACCATAAGTTCTTAGATGCTCCCGTTTACTTCACAGGCCTGCAAATCATAAAATCTAACAAGAAATAGCTATCCACACCCTTAATTTCATTAACTTAAATATTTCCATGGTGATAATCGTAGATTTTAATTTTATTGACCACACCGATTCAAATACCTACGGCTAATACTTCATCAAGTAAATGTAAAGCCTGATGAGAATTTGTGAAAAATACATATTTGCTTAAATAGTATTCTATCATCCTTGATTTTGTCGTCTTTTCCTTCACTACCTAGGATATTATAGCCACCGCTTGATGCAGATCGAGTGTATCGGCAAGTCTAAATGAAACGTTTATTGTCATGCTTAACGTTTTAGAGGCTGACGGTATTGACGTTCACGGATAGTACGAAGTATAGTTACGCCAGATCTAATACCCTCAACTTCTATATCATTTGTTCCGCGTAGACCAAAGGTAAAAAACACTAGAATTGATCGTCCAAATCACGAGATATATTTCGAGACCAAATCGGAGTGAGAGATGCTTGCTTAGCTCGCTAGTGATCGTGCACGAACGAACGTGACACGACAGCATACCAAATGGTGTGGATGCTTGACTGGAAGCCTTCAGCTAAACAACTTAACTTAAACAGTGACGGTCAGCATCCAGTGTTCAGCGATGATTACTGTGGCCAATAATTTTGGGGAATTATTTACCGCTGCAGCTCACTAGTGGATTTGTGAGGACCATAAGACAGAACCAGCCGGAGGTAAAAACTCGATGATTCCCCATCGGTAAAACAACTCTTCCGAGCGACTTGGTGCGGTGCCTACTGGTCGTCTACCTACGCTAATAGGGTGTCTGTACATCGCTTCGTTGATGTTTGTCCGTTGGATCTAGAGCTTCGTTTGCGTCTTGTCCAGTGACCATTGCACCTGGAAAAAAACAAGAATGCTAAGGACATTGTTGTGGAAGATATACCAAAAATAACGTTTGAAAAACGATATACATCTGCCAAACAGTAATTAAATGCGAGAATAGAACATCTCAAAAAGTATGTATCTAATTCTTTAAGGGATTTAACATGCACGGTTATAAAAAGTTTTTACTCGTGTTGCGGGATGCAATATATATTTAAAAAACTATCACAAGTGAATAAGAATTGGGGGAATCGCATCACTTACTTATGTGGTACAAATGTCAAGATGTCCTGGGAACCTCGCGTTTCCTCCAAAACGCGTTTTCTCTGAGGGTTCGACAGAAAGTTCGGTGGCTTTCACCGTGGTAGTGAGTTCTTTGAGGATAAACGGATATTCTGTTACTTGTGTAGTATTAGGAATGCTCAGCTCTAAGCTAATAAGATCGTCTTCTAAGTTGGCCGGTTTCAGACGGTCGCCGCTGTCGGTGTCTTCGCGGCCGATTTTGTCTAAGACAAAGGATTTGTCCATACGTTTAATAACTTTATATGTTCCGTCGTATGGGGCTTCCAGAGGTCGACGCATAGGGTCAACAAACGAACGAGGCGAACGAATACGTGCGAAGAAGTTTTCATACACGAGTGAGCAAAAATAACTATGAACTGTAATCGAAGGGGAGAAGGTTTAGCTGAACGCATTACGTTTGTAAGCCTGCTGATATATGAGGCGTGATCTACTGCTGATGGGAAGCTAGAGGGAGAAACAAACTCATCTGGCAGCCGTAGTGTTGTGCCATACACTAGCTCGGCAGCAGTACAACCAGCACCAGTTTTCAAGGCCTTTCGTATCCCTAGAAGAACTAACGGCAGTGATTCACTCCAATGCGTATTGTTTGCAGCTGATAACCCAGCCTTCAACTGTCCGTGCAGACGTTCTATCATACCATTAGCTTGAGGAGGGTAGGCTGTTGTTCTAAAATGCATACAACCTATGATTTTAGCCAGGGTGAAGAATAAGCCTCTTTCGAATTGCCGCCCGCGATCAGTTCTTATGGAGGATGGGCATCCAAAGTTTGCGATCCATTGTACGACAAAGACGCGTGCGAATGTTTCAGCAGGTACATCTTTGTGGGGTACTGCTTCAGCCCATCGTGTGAAACGGTTGATACAAGTTAAGCAATAGGTATATCCATGAGATTCTGGAAAGGGTTCAATCAAATCGACGTGGATGTGTTCGAAACGAGCATCAGGGATAGGAAAGGTACCAAGAGGGCTTTTGGTATGTCTGACTAACTTGCACTTTTGGCAATCTAAGCACGTGTGAACCCATTCCCTCACTTCTTTATCAATACTAGGCCAACAAAACCGACTAGTTACGAGCTTGACGGCAGTTCAAATACGTGGGTGGGATAAGCCATGCAACGTATTTAAGACGATAAGGTGATAACTTTTAGGCACTATGGGGTGAGGAGTACTCGTGGAAGTGTCACACGGAATAGTATCTCTTCCCAACCCTAAGGGTTTCTCGGCTAATTGCAGAGTTGTTTTCGACAACTCATGTTGAAGCCCGGAATCTTCTTTATGAAGACGAGCCAGTTTTACAAGGTCTGTGCCTTCTATTAGGGTGAGGAAACAAACGCGCGACAAGGCGTCTGCCACATTGTTGTTCACTCCGGATATATGGCGAATATCCGATGTGAAACGTAGTCCAGTTATCATGATTCTCTAGGTGAATACTTACCTGAAGTTGAGTTCAGAGAGCACGTCAAAGGTGTGTGACCAGTGAAAATTATGAATTCGCGACCTTCCACTGAATGTAGAAAATGTCGTATAGCACAGTAGGTAGCCAAAAGTTCTCTGTCGAATGTGCTGTACTTCGTTTCTGCCAATTCTAGGCACCTGGAGAAAGAGGCGAGTGGTTGCAACTCTCTGTTGACTAGTTGTCGCAGAACTGCGCCGATTGCAGGGCAAAGTTAAACTTTCGACACCACTAGCAACCAATCAGCAAACAACCTTGAACGGACCAATCACATTAAATAGGCATATATGATGAATGGAAACGCATATTTATAGAAAAAAGCATATAGAAGGATAAAACGGTTACAAGGAGTATCTTTCTCGAATATGAAACATCCCCCAGTTCAGCATGTGACTGTCATTGGCGAAGCCACAGCACATCCTGTACTTATATTCATCTGAACGGCTGTAAATGAGATCCTTTTCAGATCCATTTATAGCCCTAATCTTGTTTTTCAAGCGGCCCCAAAAACTTTCAGTGGAATTCGTATGACTCCTCGTAACGGGATCCACACAGCAAACAAGTGATTGTCTCTATTTTACACGAAGCAATTTCTCTGCAATGCTGGTACCATTTAACTGTTGAGACAAGACTATTCTCAGTCTCGGCAGCTGCTGCTCTCACCGGCTGTTTCAACACCCAGTAATTGCAGATACACA